CTACCAGCCAGGATTGCACCGCACCGCACGAAACGTACAGCTCCGTCGAACATTCTAGCCGCGAAACACGGGTAAGTACCTTTTTTTATTTATTTTTATAGTCCCTCTTGTCGAATATGTCCGAAGATCCATGGTGGTCTTCCTTGCGGGAGTGCGTTTCGTGACTGTCAGTTGTCGACACGCGAGCTGTCCCTCTGATTTGTTTACGGCTCGTCGCGGATATATCGCGCGTCTAAATCGTCGATCCGCGTGCTGAAATTCTGAGCCAGGGTTTCCGGTTTTCTTCCAACGGCTGGTCTAAGCATCGATAAAGATAGCTGAAACTGGCTGGACACGATTTACGTTTCGAAAAACCTTGGGGAAAATATATTCTAAGCTTAGAAGATTTTCGTGATGTGTCAAAACATAAAAATCGAGAAAAAGTTTGGAGAATTCGAGGCTGATTAACGCGAACGTGGAATCCACCAGCGACGCATCTATCGATCCAATGTTTACCCGTTTCGTAACAGTGACTGGGCTTCCCTTGGCGGCTACATCGGAATCTCGTGATTTACGAGCAACCAGAATTCACTGAAGCAACCGTTCTACGCGCGTACTTGGAGAAAATTGCAATTTCTTTCGTATGAAAAGCAGTTACTTTCGGAGAAACCGCTCTGCTAACCACAATATCAATTTTTATTGTACACCGAATAGCCGGTATCTACGATTACTTTGTCGTGGTAAACGGGAAAAAATCGGGCCGTGCGAGTAGGAAGGGGAGACCCGACCAAACGAATCAACCAAATTCGGACGCTGCGGTGCGCGAAAACCTCGAAAATGCCGGCGTTTAATCGGCAAAGCGTACGCGGAAGCTTTCATCCAGCCAAAGAGAGAATATAAATTTGTGAGCGACCATACAGCTCCGAATACGCGTCGCAATATTCCCAAACACCAAGAGAATTGTATTTTTTTTTTCATTTTCCCACGAAAAAAAGTCCAACGAATTACAGTCGATACGAAAATATCCACGCTTCGTTTCATAACCGAACACAGAGAATCGTAACGGGCGCAATATTTCATAGGAAGTTGAACGCGTTTCGTCGGTTGCTTTTCAAAGTAAACGACTCGAGAACTAGCCCGGTCTTCCGGCGTATATTGCAGCGACATAATGCGCGGAATTGAGAAGAGAAATTAATCCTATGCGCGTTTTATTAATTATATTCATGGGCGAGAGCTTTTTGTCAGGCCATCGACGAATCTTTGTTGTCACTCATCGGCTAAATAACCGCTCGACTCGCTTTCGGGAAAATTTTAATCCGCTCGTATTTCTTCCCCGCGTCAACGTTTTTATCGAGCCGCTCATGAAGTCGAGTGGAAAAAAGAATGGGCGTCGATGCGACCGCCGGACATCCTCGAGATCGTCGATTTCGATGGTAAAACGACTGTATACCACCGATTCAATTTCAAATTTAAACTCTACGTTTATCATCTCGTTACAGTGTTTCTTCTGTTTCGCGTTAATTAACGCGTCGACTGACCGCAGTAGAAATGGACGCGTATAGTCAGACGTATTCTACTTATCTAATCGCGCGGAACATTAATCTCAATATAAGAATATACTCAAAGAAACAATGATTTCGGAGGAAACTCGAATAACATTGAATGCAAAGGAATTTTCGCGGGAAGGTCGATTCGCGGCTGCGATTTTAGAACGAGGAGATTCGGCTCGAAAACGCCGGTGCCACGGCAGCGTGCCGGGAGAGTTGGCCAGCAGGATTTCCACGGAAATAATCTGCTTACGGTAATCTTCTTGGCTTGCCTCCCTCCCGGTTAAGGTCCGCCTTCCACGAGGAGGACCTTCGTCTCCTCGTCGCGTGTACGCGGTGGAGCGTCCTCGACGGGAGCGGAGAACGCCTCGAATCCTAGTCGGTGCCGGGATTTCGTACGTTTCGCGGAAACTCCATGCTTCCGTTTCATCGTTCGTTTTCAAACAGACCCTTATCGCAGTGTAATTGCCGGAATTGGCGAATTCAAACGCCTCCTAATCGGATAGTGCGTAATTCCTCGTGGAAGGAAGACCTCGAGTACCGAGTAAAACGTCGAAAAGTAATCGAGTTTCACGAGCTTCTGCGATTTTACTGTTTCGACAACCGATCGCGCGTGTATCGCTACTAAAATGGAACGAGTGTCGGAAGGCAGGCGACGGAGAAACGACTCGCCTATCGTTTGAAAATTTCGAGGAAATTGGCTGGCAGGAATCGAGTGAGTTTCGTCGGTCGATCGTCGGTGCGGTTTTAGAGTAAAAGGGAGAGAATGAAAGCTGGAGAAGAAAGGAGACGGAAGAGAACTCGAAGAAAAGAAGAAGGCTCATCCCTGTCAGGAGGAGGGTACTGCAACCCTATTGGAATCTTTTTTTCTTCCAGCCAAGAATAAAAACTAACTACCCAAGTGAGAGAACAACCCTCGAAGATGGGTATATACGTACATATATACGTGTCTAGTTCGTAGCATTTCCACGGGAATTAAGTTTTACGCTCAATGAACGCGCAACAACGGCATCCCTCCGGCTAAATTGCATTCAATGCGAAGAGAACGTTTCCTCGTGACTACGCGGATGCCACCTCTTAAAGAAGGTATTCAAAGCTACGAGATCCTGCTCTACCAGACGGTTCGCGGACAGCTTTTGTTCCGTGAAAAAGTCCACCCTCGACTTTGCGCCACCCAGACGCGACCTTCTTTCGACGAAATGGACGCGTTCCTATCCATTCGATCAATTCGATGCTTCGCTGCTTCGACGCCACGTGACGCGTAACGGTTTATTAATATTCATAGACGTCGACAAAATATGAACAGTTTAAAATATCGAGATACTTTGCGATAACCGGGAAGATGTAGGGAGGAGTCGAATCGAGTACTTGATAAAATCGATTAATACCCTGCAAGAAGTTTCCGACTTTTCCCGGTACCATCGGCGCCCGGTACTCTCCTCTTCACGCACAGACTGTTCTACGTACGGGTACACGTCCATTGTGGACGCCAGGGAGCGACAGAGTGCTCTCCAGGAACAATGCGGTTGTGTGCAAACACTCGTGGAAACAATGCGCGGCCGGAACTTAACTTTCCACGTTGGCTTCGCCAGATTCGCTCTCTCTCCTCGTGCACCACCGAATACAACTTTCCGGGAAATTATACCGCAGTCTACCTCGAAACTATCATCGAGAACTAGAGACTTCTATGGAAACCCGTCGGCTTTTCAAATACAAATCTTGCGTTCGTGTCGTGCCAAACATAGGTTCTTCCACTGCGTCGGTCAGCGTAATCGGCGATCTCAATCTCGTTGCAATCGAATTCAGAAAAACAACGATGAAAGCGTAGAGGCAGTATTGGTTCGTTCGATTCATAGATTGATGCACGCATCGACGAGTATCAGCGTATCAAATTCTTAAGCGCGAACGAGCGGGTGGTACGCAATAATGGAGATTTAACAGTCATTAGGGACAACGTGCCGTTATATACGTGGATTGGTAACACAAAGTGTTTGTAGTAGGGCCAGATCGAATCGAAGGGCGAGGGTGGAAGCGAGGAATGGTCGGTAGTTGTAGCGGGAGATCGATTCATCGGGGGTGGAAAAGGCAGGCTTTCTCTTGGTCTTCCTCTCGCTTCTCGTATCTCTCTCTTTACGTTGTACAGCAGGCTCGTAGACTGCTCGAGGACCCTCGAGGACCAATCGAGTGGCGACTTGGGCATTTTGTCCACACTTGGCGGCCTTGTAACAAGTGCATTGTCCTGTGCGCTGAACTGCACAAAAATAAAGAAACCTCTCTTGCCCGGCAAAGAGGTTCCTAGAGAATTCCTCACCCCGATTTCACAGCGGTCTTTTAATATCGCACCAGTGTAAATAAGTGCGCCAGCCACAAAGTCCTTCTCCTTCGTTCGACTACCCTTTTTGTTTCGAAAAGCACCCACCTATCCTCTGCCGCAGACCTCGAGATCAATTCATGATTCGCGTTCTTGCGTGAACAATCTTCAGGTACTCAACTTTGACGCTTCCGAAACGGCACACGTTAAGGTTCTAAAGTTTCTAGGCATTTCTTGAAAATTTCGATGTTCGCCATTCGTTTGCGCGTTTCCCAGTCGGTTGGCTTGTAACGAGTGCTTTGTGGCCAGCGTAAAGCGCAAGAGTGCACAAAGGTATAGGAGATTCGCGCCTGACTTGCTTCAGGAGAACCCTCGACAACGTAGCCGCCCTTTTCTTCGTTGGCCTTCTTTTCATAGCCAGCCAAATTTTAATATAGCCAGATCGGCTGAGGAGGCGTCACGGGGAAGCCTCGCGTTTTATGGATTCTCTTTCATCGGTCTGGAACTTCATTTCGCGGCAAGGATCCTCGGCGAAGATCGTAATTAAACGAGAAAATCATCACCGTTCCGTATTGTTTCGAACTACCCGACGTCTCCTCGATTCTCTTGCTTTTTCGAAAATATCACCGAAGAGTACGGTATACACCATGAAAATCGAGCACCAGTCGAGAGGATGTTTCATTCGTATCCGCGAGAAGGAACTTTCGCTCGAGTGATCCGAGAAGTGCCCTTCTTTCATCAGGGAACTCGTGGTACCGCTACACAGAAGCCATCGAAACGGAACAATGCTTTATTAAAGCGGGTTTATCGATGCGAAATTTCATTTTGCGCAAGCGAACCCCGTTCGAAACGAGACCCACAAGCGTACCGCAATATTGCATCGGAAATGCAAATGAAAGTTGCGCTTCAAACTTTCGTCTCAGCTCGCGCGTTCGCGCGCTTCTTTATCTCGCCTCGGTATCGATTGAGGTTCAATTATTCGCCATTCTTTTCAAAGTTATCCGACAATTGTCAGTGTCGGAAACTAATTAAAACTGTTTAGCGTTTCCATTATTTTGTCCGTCCTCCGCAGATCGCGAATCGTATCGGAAATAAACGGCCACCTTCTGCGCGGCTGTCGTCATTCGATTGTTTTTCACGTCGCACATGTTAATTAACAACCGCTTAGCTGGTATTAATCCGAAACATATGCCAAGCGGTGACCTCCCTTGCCCCTTTTGCCTCTAAGTACCGAAACGATATTCCCTTGGAACGATGACGACGACGACGACGACTTGGAGGACGTCGCAGATGCGAAACGGGAGGGCAAATAAATTAATAAGGCCAGGTTACGAAGGTGCGAGATCGAAAGCCGAGCGGTACCGGGCTCCGATAGAACGACGACGTTCTTGACTTTGTAATCGGAGAGGATAAAACGCGGCTTAAGCAGCGGCTAAAACGTAAAACGGAAAGGCTGACTCGACCGACGCGTCCAAGATCGGGCCCTTTTTCGAGCCGCTTCTCGGTTTTCGAGAGGACACGACGCGTTTTCGGAATTAACCACCTCGTTGTTCGTCTACGTGGCGAAGCAACGGCTTCGAAGAGTGTCCGGGGAGTCGTGTTGCATCTACTTCGGATTATCCGGCGGCCAAGCCAGCTGCCAACCGCACCAACCTCGATCTTACATCCCCATCTTCCGTGATCGGTTTCGATATTCGTACGCTGGGAACTTTCCGTTAGCCGTGACTTCCGTTCCGTGCTTGGTGTCGCGTTGCGATTCTCCTAAGACAATCGTCGCGTCGGACGAGAGGAAAATTACCACGTCATTCATCGAGTTAAGAATGTAAAAACGTTTGGCTTGGACTTTAAACTTTGAACCAGAGAAGTAGTAAACAATTTGTGGGTACAAAGTGTTCGAGCTTGAATATTAAGCGTTTGAGTAGTGTAGGTATCCCGTGAGACAGAGATCATTCTGAAACTCGAAATTTAGCAGCGATAAAGTTGTTTGGAAATGTGCAAGATGGGGTATATTTAACCGGTACCTTTGAATTTGAATTACAGAAGCAGAAGAGGGTAATTCGGTGGAGCGGAGGAGTTTCGCGTAGAGGCGGCCGCGAGGCGCGGGGGGGTGGTCGTGGTGGGGGCCGAGGGGGTGGTGATGTGGCCGAACAGCCTGGGCGGTACTTCCGGTTGCAGCGGAGGCGCCGGCGCCACCGATCTCGGGGGCCTCGCCGCCTCCACCACCTCGGCCTCCGATCTTTTCGGGCCCGCCGCATTCGGCGCGTCCGCGGCCGGGCCCTACGGTGCCCTTAAAACCAACCCTTACGTCAGTGCCCTTGGTATGCCACCGATCGAGGCTCTTCACACCACCATAGGCTACCCCGGTTGTACTCCTGCTGGTGAGTCCTACTACTGTGAGTGCCGTTCGTTATTTTATACTATTATTACTATCTTTATAAAAGAATATACCTGCGATTTATTAAAAGTTTACTATAGTATATTAGAAATGTTGTTAAAGGTAATCCAAGAAAGCAACGAAGGGAACGAACGACGTTCACTCGAGCACAGTTGGACGTTCTCGAAGGACTTTTCTCGAAGACGAAATACCCCGACATTTTCATGCGGGAGGAGGTGGCGATGAAGATCAATCTCCCGGAATCGAGAGTGCAGGTATGTCGAAGCAACGTTTCTGTGTCGTTAAGAACGTGGGGTGAATGATAGAGGGTGCACCGTTAACGAGAAAATAATAAATCTCAAATCGTGTTATACTTCAAAACAAATCTGTAGAAATGTATCAATTTCAAGGGTAAACCCATCGAAGCTGCCAACGCAAGTCTCAATTCCATTGCTAGTTAATGGTGTCTCGTTACCTAGGGGTAGCACTGTCGGAACGCGTAGACAGCATCGATTTACTGGACGTTCGTGTTTCCTGTGCCCCGACTGTTAACCGAGTTAGTAGTTCACCCTGTAAATACGAGAACCGGCGCTGTCCAGTATCAGCTTCTCGTTGAAAACTGTTCGATAAATTCCTGCGCTCGAAAATCTTTCTCAATACGAGCCGGTAGCTTCGAAAGAGGAATGAACCGTGGCGAGTTCGTGGAATCGTTAACTTCCGACACTGTCACGAACGACTTCGTGTCGTCCGAATCGACTTTCGAAGCCGACAGCCAGCTAGAACGTGCCCGTGCATATTCCACCCTCATCAGAAGCGGAAAGGGCGCACCGCATCCGCAATTGCGGACCAGCGCACCTGGTCCCGGTCCTGTAAATGAATTGAATGGGTCCAACCAGACCCATAGTCTTCTGCACGTTCGTTGTCGACTGCAAAACCGGAGACTTCTTGTCTGTGATCGTGTTCTTTGACCCCTGTGCTGCTTTTCAATCAGCAGAATATAATGTATCGGTCAACACGACTAAGATTCTTTTAATTCGATGCTACGAGAAGATGAGAATCATTTCTGGATATTTATTTATCAGATATTCAGAAGTGATTTCACAAGTGATACTCGCGATCGATAGTGTGTATACATATTTCAGCAGTTTGAAGATAGAGAATTCGTATAGAGTAAATAGAAATATAGAACGGGGGTAGCAGCTTCAGTGGAAGAACGCGGGTTGCTCGTGTCGTTCCCCAGAAAATCCGTAGAAACCCAAGCTCACCTCTCCGCTTCTAACATTGATCGCGCAGGGCTTCTCTAGGCTCCTCTCCCTCTCCTCTTTGCTCTCACCTCACCTCCAACCACTCTCCTCTCACTCTCTCGCCCTCTTGCCACTTTATTCTCTATCTTCGTTCTTCGAATCGTTTGCTTCTCTCGCGTCCTTCTCCAGAGGTCGTTCTCGCGTTCTGGAAATCTAGCAGGGCGTACAGTGGATCGAAGGACGAGAGAAGTTCGTCGGATGGCTTTGTAAAAATTTCGAATCAATTCTGGCAAAATAATTTCATGGATAGAAAGTTTGCTTTAGTTGTCGATGGTCGATCTGTTTGCTTTCCTGGTAATTTTGTCACGAACCAGTCGGATACGAGAAGGTTTCCGTTCGCGTTACCGAAGCAGGCTTCATTGGTAATTGATAGTTGCGCCGGTGGTGCATTCCCTTATAATTGGCTATTACGCCAGCTTTGTGAAAAGCTTTGTACCGTTTCGTGCTCGTTTCTCCGAACTACCTCGCGTTTGATCGCAAAAACACGATTCGAAACCTTGCGTAATTATTTTCTCCTTTTGAAGATTAAACGTTTTTCGCGTGACTTTACACGGAGAACGATTTGTTCCCCATGGTTTATTCAATAATTGTGCCTGTGCGTAGGTGTGGTTCAAAAACCGCAGAGCTAAATGCAGGCAACAGCAGAAGCAGCAACAACAGCAACAGGACAAGGCACCGAGGTCGAAGAAACCCTCGGGGAATCCGACCAACAATCCGCCCTCTGGAAAAAGTCCTTCGATTGCTACCACGCCCACGCCTGCCGCCGCGGTGCCTGCCACAACACCCCTGTAAATATCCATTAATATCTAGTTTTCACAGATAAACTTTGCCTTTAAGTCGTAATCTCTTTGCTTTAGATCATATTTCTAAAAAATTAGTATTTTTCAAGCGATAAACGACCCGACTATAACACTGTTCTCATTCTCCTTCTAACAAGTCCTTGTCCAAGGATTAAGTTCTGTTTAAAAAATCTCGTTAACAACAGTGCATAATCATATGAGATATCAATCTATTAACATCCATTTTTTATAGTCGTAACTTGTGTGTGTAGAAGCGGAGGTACAGGTGGTTCAGCAGCCAGCTCGCCAGCTCTTCTCCGAGATTCCCCTCAGTACAAACCAGCGGGAAGCCTGCTTCTGGCAGCCAGTACGACCCCTCCGAGCGTAAGTTACCGACCGCGAACTAGTTTACCATCCGTGGATAAGAATGTCTAACCGTGTTGCTTCGATTTCTCGTACAGTTAGGTGGAACGGTGTACAGTAGCGGCGGCAGCAGCAGTAGTATTTGGAGCCCAGCTGTGACGGAAAGCGGTGGGGGATTCCCGGGTGACCATCAGAGGTTAGCGTGGACAACAACCAGTTCCCAGCAGCAGTGCTACCAAAACTATTCTTCTTATTACACCAACATGGATTATCTGTCTCCCGCAACGCATCAACTGAACGTTGTGGTAAGCTCGGTTTCCATTACGCGCCAAAATTGAAATTAGCTGTTCGTGAAACCGATACAGTAAAATCTCTCTAGTTGTCCCTTTGTCGCTCTGCTGACAGTGTCCATTGGTTTCGTTCTACGCCTATGTATTTTTCTAATCTAACACTTTGATGAGAGTTAGAGTTTAGTAGTTTATAATAAATTTTTTACCTACGGATTTTTTATACATATTGGCCAGACTCTTCTGATTAAAATGAGATCAAACACGATATAATTTGGGTCATATTTACTTATTTTATGTGCAAGGGAACATTCCCAATGCGAATTTTTTTTTTCGTCCATATAGTCAAAATTATGTTATGTTTAGTCTCATTTTAATCGGAAAATTTGTAGCAATATGTTAAAACAATTTACATGCAGAAAAATCTTAAAATAAGAAAGTTAAATTGTTAATTTCTCAGCTGTTACGGTTCTCATGCTATCCTTCTCTTTTACGTAAATCCTGTCTACCCTGCCCATATTGTCCACTTTCGCTTCTCAACTTACGGACAACTAGAGAGATTTTACTGTAAAAAGAAACGTCATACATGTGTTTTATCGACAGGATGGAGGAGGCAGCGGTTTGGACAATTCGTGGAGCAAAACGAGGGACGAGAGCGCATCGTCTTGGTTTTACAACAGCGCCGGTTGGGGCGATCGAAAGTGAACCTAAGAGTCTCGCTGATTGATGCAAAACATCAAGACTTTGGTACATATCATCGACAATAGATAAACGAACTCTGTGTCGCTGATTAAGCGACGTGAAACGCGGCCAAAGACAGTCTTCTTCGCGTTAATAAACATATCGTTACATTGCGAGCGTCGAGCTTCCGAATTCTTCGTTGCGTGATCATGGGGTGCCATATCCATTTTCTTGCGTTCGACGGAATCACGTAGCGAAATATTTTTCCTTATTTGTTTCGAGGATACAACTGCGATCAGTGCGGTGTTTCGACGTGTTTCAAAGAGAAAAGTACCTATTTTATTTCCGATCAAACTATAAAACCGTTGCTCGTTTCAACCTTAAGAACTCTCGATAACCCCGTTATTTAATAATCACAAATTTGTTTATCACTTATTTTTATTTGCAGCGAAAGAAATACTCGACGCGTTTGATCTAGTTTCCCTTCGTTTATCGAAACGTGCAATCTGATTAGTTGTCGCGAAATGTTCACTTATTACTACACTAGTCATCCCGATGAAAATATTTCTGAAAGATAAACGATTTAAGATGGGAGCAGAATAAATTCGTGCATTTCGCGTTACGTTGCTTCGTCTTTTTCCGTGTGATACCGTTCGTATTCGTTACGGTAAACGTTCGTTATTGTCACGAATTTTTTTTGTAATTAATACACCGTGAAGAATCGATCGTTCGCCATGAGAGCAGGCGACTTCTTAATACCACTGATGTATATAATATAAATAGTCCTGCGTCGTTCGGAGAAATCAATGTAGTTAGCTGGAATTTGCAGGAAGCGACGAGAGAAACTGTAGATCCTTTTTGCTATCTTCGTTAAAAACATCCCAGCAAAACTTATGTACGTATACACAGGGTGATTCAAGAATAAGTTATCGCGATTTGTGTTATTTTAAAAGTAGGAATATATATTTTTCTTCCTGTGTTCTTGTAGCACCTAAGGTATAGAACGATGGAGATTAATTCCTGAATCATCCTGTATACGAGGACAAGCTGATCATTTATGTACATATGTACCATTTTTCGGACGTATCTTCTGAACTGGTAAAATATTCAAGAAAACACTTCGATATTTGTTTCATCAATTGTGACGGAAATTGATTCGATACCTTTGAGAATTATCCTTTCATCGTAATCCAAATTACCAGGGTATAGCTATCGAATTGAGGATTGTATTCAATCGGAACCGAAAAACGTCGATTAATCGTTTGTATTTGTGGACCTGTACATAGGAAAACTTGCATCCGTGCTCGGGATGGGGTGTTTAGTTCCTCTTTTCATCGAACGAAATAATCATCGACATCTCCACGGACGCGAAACTTTGATTCAGCATACGTAATAGAAGAGACGAGGTGAAACATCAATATGTAAAGTGAGAAAAAGTATATAGTATAAATGTAGGGATGTAAGTAACGTGACTGTTTAGATTGTTATTATAAAATGCTATCGATAACGATACTACGACTATCGAGGGAGAGAACAACGACGACGTACGTGTCATAAGATATATGAAATAATATATTAAATTTGAATTGTAATACCTTGTCAACTTTTTCCCTCCCCGAAAGATCCGAAACGTCAAGAAATACATAGTTAGTATATTTCAAAAATTCAAATTTTGCGCGCTTATCCGTGGGCGTGAACCCCGTCTGGAGGGGTCTCTAAGAAGTACCCAAGTGTTACACTCATTTATTAATGAAACTTTGCCAGCTTGTAGAGCTCGTCGAGCTGAACACGCATATACCCCCTTTTGGGGTCAGACGGCTAATTGTTTAAAAGATATTAACAATTACAGTTAGTTACTCCTTACATTCTGAAGTATGACAAACTCACACATACAACTCGCAATTTAGAGATCCACGATTCAAATCCTTAGTTCCCAACATTTCTTTTTTTTTTTAATGATAATTTGTCCTTTTTTCAATAACTATTACATAAAAATTATCAAAAAAAAAAAAAAAAAATTGTTGGGAATCAAGGATTTGAACCGAGGATCTTGAGATTGCGAATGGTGTGTTTAACCACGCAGCGGATCCATGACTCACAACCTGAAGGTCCTCGGTTCAAATCCTTGATTCCCAAAAATTTTTTTTTTTTTTATGATAATTTTTATGTAATAGTTATTCAAAAAGAGGCAAATTATCATTAAAAAAAGAAAAAAAAAATGTTGGGAACCAAGGATTTGAACCGTGGATCTCTAGATTACGAATTGTATGTGTGAGTTTATCATACTTCAGAATGTAAGGAGTAACTAACTGTAATTGTTAATATCTTTTAAACAATTAGCCGTCTGCCCCCAAAAGGGGGTATAGGCGTGTTCAGCTCGACGAGCTCTACAAGCTGGCAAAGTTTCATTAATAAGTGAGTGTAACACTTGGGTAGTTCCCCTTGTAAGTATATCGCCGAATCCGCGACGTTCGCAGCGAACGCGGTAATCGCAATTAATCGGAATTTCGATTATTGACCTGGTTAGCAACAATAAATATCTACAATCGGTAAATTGATAGGGGAGTCCAGATTCAGGTGCCCTCTGGTGAGGACAGCCTGACGAAGGAGCTCGGTTGCGACCGTGAACCCTCGGCGAGCAGGGGTCGCTCCGAAGCGGCGTGGGTTAGCGGCCTTCAGTATCGCGCGTCGTTTCGTGGTGTTCGGTTCGTTCGTTCTCGTTCCTCGTGCAAGTGTGTTCATTTCTTTTGGCAAGCATCGAATCGAAGGGAATAGAATGACAGCGACGTGAAGCGTTTGGAGAAACGGGATCGTCTTTCTCTCGCTTTCACCCCTCGAGTGATTTTCGGAGCTGCGCGTTTCATCCCCTTTTGGACAGTGTCGTAAAGGATGCGGCGCCTCGAACTAGCCACGCTTATTCTCATCTGCATTCGTGAGTACACCATACACGCAACCCGATTCTTTTTCCCATGGTTTTCTTAGCCGGCTGCTCTTGGGTGCAATGAATCATGGGAACGGAGAAAAAGGAAGGCACGGAAAGAGGGATGCTATTATAGACGGAAACATCGCTCCGTCTCTCGGTCGTCGATTCGTTCACCCTCACGGTTCTTCAACGAACCTCCGCGCCTCTGTTTCCTTTCTTCTTTCACCGGCTGTGCTATAATTACGGTTAATTGGGCCTGACTGCTGCGACTACGAGACAAACGACCGCTTTCGGTAATTTGCCTCTTTCATTCCCCAATCTATGTGTCGTAACGTTCAATCGACAGGTTTATACGAGATTTTCTTTGCTTCCCAATTGCTTGCTACTTTCTAGACCACTTGAATATCTGGTTATTGCCTTTTTATCGATGTATCGCTCGATAATTTCCCATCCCTCGATGAGCACCTTTCGCCAGACTTGCTGGAAATCAAGTTGGAGCTCAGCCACGTTTATTCGACATCTTATATTCCAGGTTATTTGAAATATTTAAAAATACAACAAATACTTTAGACAATTTTTACTTTGGAACTGATCTCAAGCCCAACCTAGACCTGTTTGTCCGAGGATTTTTATTTATTATAAATAAATCTGGCTTTCGTTAATGAACCGTTCGATAATTTCGCGTCTTTCGATAAGCCTCTTATTCGGCAGACAAGATTACTTGAGACTTTTTGTTTAATTTGCGTTTAATTGGTTGTAACTTTCTAGGCTGCTTGAATATTTATAAAGCAATAGTCGTTTTCGTTAATGTATCGTTCGATAATATCGCGATCTTCGGTCAGGTATCTCGTTCGGTAGATTCCGAAACCAGTCGAGGCCCAACCCAGACGAGTTTTTTCTTAAATTTGTTTTTAATTAGTTGTAATCTTCTAGGCTTCTTATGAATATTTATACGAAATACATTGCCATTTTCATTAACACATCATTAGATAATTTCATATCTTTCGATCTGCTCCGAAACCGACCTAGGCCCGAATTAGACACGTTTAATTAAACTCTCTTTTATTTATCTCTAATTAACTACAGCTTTCTAAACCGCATAAATATTCATCCCCATTACTATACTCCTCGATAAAGTAATTCAATCCCAATTTTATCTTTTTGAACGATTATCTTTCACATCGCTACACCTTTCGCTAATTTGGCAATGCTTGATTCTCCCATTAAACAGACTCCAAAAACATCTATAAATCAATCAAATCCCCTGTGAGAGCTATCGAACGTCACATTGTCTCACTGCCAGAGCCGTATCGATGACCCTTTATCGCGATCGTCGAATCCTTTGAACCGTTCCAAAAAAAAAGAAGAGAAAAAATGAAAAAGGAAAGGGAGGCTCATAGCTCCAATTTGCTGTCGGCCGAATCGGTCGTGCCGATCTCACGTGCACCGCTACGAAATTCGACTTCGGCATCGACGACGATGTTTCCAATAGCGGTGGCTGGTGGTGGTGATGCTGGCGATGGGTGGTTCGGGTGGAGGCTATGGCCTCTCTTCGCTGCCTGTGGATGCCGGCCGGCAACCCGGTGCTTCTCTTTCTCTCTCCTTTTGCCTCTCGAAGAGAAGAGAACCGGTTCGATAGCCATGCACACCTAGAAAGCGAATATACGCAGACTCGCGACGGTAAAGGGGGGCCATATTACGTATCCACCTACCTAATATCGACGGTAAGGTCGTGTATGCGGCTACACGTGTAATTAGCAGTTCTACCTGCAGGGAGAGTAGAAATTGGTCGGCAAGGAATCTCTCTGGAACGTTATTTATAGCAAAATATAAAACGAGAACAAGTGTTTCCTATCAGATTCAGAATTTCTCGAGGGAAAGCAACTGGTTGGATATCCTACTCGAATCAGATTCCGCGATTTATAATCTCGAGTAACGCGGTTGCAAAGTATCTTTCAGTTTTATTTTATTTATGAAATATAGCATAATCGATGGATGGGTCAGAGTATATCCCCTTTCCCAGCTTTGGCTCCACTTTTCCTTTCTCCGCCTGTTGCCCCACCGGCCACTTGGCTATTCATCTTGGTCCGGTGCTCCTAATTACACGTCTCGGGTTACGGATGAGAACGACCCGTCCCGTCGCGCCGTTCGGAGACGTCCTGTGCCCTGAAAAGGGGTACCAGTACTCTGGTACTTTTTTTTTTTCCACGTTGCTTCTTCCTCTCTTCTTCTCTCTCTTGGACTCGCTGTAGGTTCTTTTTTACACTGGTTGCCACTAAAGGCCCTTTGTCCGTGGGCCGGCGTGCGCGGCTATTTTATACGCCGAATGTTATTCAGCCCCGGAGTTGCTCGGTGTGTGCAACCTCTTTCTCCGTTTTTTCTCTTTCTCTGTTTAACTCTTGCTCCGCGTAGCTGGTACACAACGCGACGAAGACGCGGGTCCGAGGGGTGCGGAGGGTCGAGGAGGTACCAAGAAAAATTGTATTAGCCCTTTGATCCCTTGGCTGGGTGGAACGGCTCGAAAAAGAGAGGGAATAAAAGCGGAGGCCACGCGTAATGCGGCTATTTACGCATAAAGAGCGAAAACGACGCGCGTGTTTTCCACGGAGCCACCGTGATACACACCGTGCCAGGACAGGTCACGCTCGCTTCGCTTCCTTCTCCGCGCCCCTTATCAAAGCTCCTATTCTCCTTCTTTCACCTCGCACCGCGATTCGCCGACGTTTTACGTTTTGCGTTTTCGTGACGGAAATTGTAATCGCTCTGCAGCTTCTTTTGTCGAAGCATCTAAGGTACGAACGGCTTAGGCGATTAAACAACAGGGTTTTCATCAAAATTTAGTGTTCTATATAAAAATGAACTATGTACTCAAGAAATTTAGTCGATAGAACTCGTTCGAAAGGGTATGTCACCTGCTCGCTCGTAAATATTTGAAAGCCATCACCTGCGCTCGGCACGCATCGCGTTTATCATCGAATATACAAAAGTATTTATGGTATTTTCCCATAAAATAAACAAACAGATAAATATAGCAGGAAACGTCGAAGGCTCGTAAACGCGATAATCGCAAAAGAGTTCGAGAACGGTCACGGCGAACAGATAGACGGTATCTTCGGTTGATACCGAAATTTCCGTTCCCCGGCAGGAAATGGCTCATCTTTCGTTGCTTCTTTCTTTCCATTTTCCATCGAATTCGACGATGGATCGCGCGGGTCGTCTGAAAGAGCATAAAACGCTTGGCCGCGAACGAAAGCAGCGTTTGATGACCCGCGTGCAACGCAAGAGACGCGGATAATGTACATATTTCGAGAGGCGACGAGCAGCTACCGATAGGCTTTCTTTGAAATTTGCTCGCGCGTTCTCATTATACCGCGCGAGACTGCTGGAATGCGCTCGATCGGCCTTTTCCGTTCGACGAAATCCCTTTGATTCCTTCACGTGAATGCCACCCTCGCCCTGTTCCCTGTATCCCTATTTCCATCGCGTTGCTCTTTCGATATTTCAATTTTTTACACGAGTACCTCTCTATCGCTTTTCTACGTAGCGAGGTGTTTCCTTTTCTAAATTTACCAATCGTCCCTCTGTGAAAATTTTCATTCCTCCCACGTTGAATGCTTCCGTTTGTTTCAATGCTTTTAATTTTGTTTACAGTACGAACAGTTCTTAAGAACGTCACGTAAGAAACTTTACTTTTAACGACTCGCCGTAGAGAATTTGAAGCGCGAGGGTAGCGATAATTTCGCGGTGTCCTCGCTTTTGTATTTATTACCGCGAAGCGCGTCAGAGTGGCGTCACATTTTTTTCTTTCCTTGCTGTCAAAAGGGCGTCGGTACTCTAATTCTCGTCAAGTCTGATCCTCGCACTTCCCATCCCTTCGGTGTTTTCTTTTTCCTCTTCCTTGGCCACCTCTCCTTTCTCCATCATCATCATCTTCTTCGTCTTCTGCTTTGCCTCTTCTTCTTTTTTCCACGGTTTCTTCCCCCTCCCCTCCCCCTCTTTTTTTCCTTAAATAAGACCACGACTTACTCGCGTCTTGTCTCGACGCCCCGGTACGAAGAAAGGAGGCTCTCAGCGCGCATTCAGAATCGTGAAAAACGTCGTCCCGAGAGTGTGAATTTCACGGTGCTAGGGAGCGTCTGGAAGGCGGCACTGCGGACACAATTTGCGACGGCGTCGTGGAACGCCGCCGGTGGCCAGGACCCCGTGAAAATATTACGCAGACTCCGCGATGCCACGCTGAATTTTCTTCCTTTCAACGTCGTACAAACACGGCCCGCCGCGACTTTTGTACCGCGTCGCGAGTAAATCATGTCCGCGTAGCTCCCTGGCCGCGAGCCGCGATGCACCCTATGAATTATGTATCCGTGTGCATTAAACTCTCCGTGAACAGTCCCTAGTTTTTCCCCTAGCCATCTTGCAGATGATTTTTCTTCGGTACGAGAATGTTTAGGGGGTTTTGCTGTTATAACGCGGACGATCGACGCGGTTGTAGAAAGATTTGTAAAAAGAAGATTTCGATGTATTAGGAAGTGGCAGGTATCGTCGAGTAGTCGACGGGAAAGGCATTCGGCTAATGATTTTTCGGTTTTAACGAGCGAGTCGTTAGCGTGAGAGGTTCTCTGTGTAACGAAAGCGGTAACGAAAAGATTTCGACGCGTAACGAGGCGAGTTCCGTTCGTTGGGATAGAAGTTTGCCTCCTTTATCCTCGGCTCGTCGAGAGATTGCGCGTCGCGAATAATAACGTTGTCCAACAACCAATTTCTCCTTCGATATACACTTTTCATAGGGTTCTATGCGCTGATTGTTTAAAAAGGTGAATTTATTCGAAAAGTTGAAACTTGTTAGACGGTGTAATTAAACATGAATAACTGGTACCGCGAAGTCTCTTCTTTCTCTTTCGAAAAAGAGGGACCTCTTAGTGCTCGCCGAGAAGAAAATAGCCTCGTTCGCTGCCCGCTTTGAAGTTCACCGGAAGCGGATCAACCGTGGAAGAAAAAGGGACGACCTTTGCGATGCGCTCCGTGGTTTACGGGTCGAACACCGTTGAAAATCCTCTCGCGCGTGTCTCTGCGCAAAGCGTGGACGTATCGCTGGCTAGCCTCGCACACGCACGGAAATGCAGCGACGCACGGAAGCCGAAAAGTCGGGCCGTACCGCTTGTGTAAACGCCGTAAAGCAGCGCGAGCAGCTGCACACCCGTCCGACCCAACGAGACGTTTGCTTCGGGGAGGAAAGTAATCTCGAGAGTAGGTCGTAAAAGCGATCGTTGTTTACCCCGACGGGGAGGTTTCCAGGATCGTGGACCAACGATCGTGAGTTTTCTTTTTTTAGGATTCGGTTGCCTCTCGCGGATAAACCAAGCATCGACGAAGAACCGTCCTGTGTTGTCTCTTCTTCGGCTGGTGCGGTCTGTGTACACAGTATTGAAAGAGGGAGGGCAATCGGATCATTACGTTCACGATCTGCTAGTGAACTTTTATTGCCGCTACCTAGCAGACCTGAGGAGAATTGTAGTTATATCAGATCGTAGATTATAGTAATAAATGTGATGATTCTTCCTTGATCTTCGTGTGGTTATTTCAATGGGATAGTCGAGATTTTTAGGATAAAATTAGTATGAAACATAACTACATTTTAATGATAAAGAAGGAAATAGAGGTGAAATTTTACTGAGAATTACGATGTCGGTCGGTGGAACAGGCAGTGTCGTAAATTATAGGTTCCTCCGGGGCCATGTTTCTCTCACCGCAGTGTCTTAAGGGTTAATTTTCAGCCAGAGCGAGATAATGACAGGGTGTGCAAAGGACACGGTTGAAATTTGAAAACGATGGAAAGATCCGGTCGTCGGAGCGGAGGGTTTACCTGACCCGCCTGACCAGGCCCCCGAGCGAAGGTAAATAAAAGAGCGCAAAGGCCCGCCTGGGATAGATTTATGGCCAGGTATTATGGATTCGAACGGTCGTGGTTAACGGTTCAAATATGCGGCGCTACGAATCGTATGGGATTTGGGGTATCGCGAGGAAGGCGTGAAAATAGAAAGAGGTAACCTATGTGGTTGCGCCACGATTACTGGAACATCCCGTACATTTGACACTGACGGTGAAAGAGTTAATCCAAGCACAATGGTGTTTGCAAAATCGGTGGCGGTGGTTGTACGGTTTCGAATCGCGAGTCGATTTTCGCGTCGCGCGTTTCACTCGCTCTTTTTTGCGAGTCGCGGACCGAAAAAAATATGCTCAGGCAGATGATTCTTGTTGCAGCCTTTTTTTCCCTCCCTCTTTCTCTGTGTATCTGTACGTTCTTCTCTGGCCGCGCGCGTCGAGCATGCTCGTACAATGTGGTTCGTTTAATTTGCACAGACGACTATTTGCAGCTCGTTCCCGGCGTTTGTTCGACAAAGTCGCGGGTACGTGAGCTTTTCCGCATACGTGCCGCTGCGAATCGCGAACGGGCGATTACAAAATAGCCAGACTGCTCGCTTTATCTCGACGGAATGTAACTTAAAGCGTTTCTGAATTCTCCGTTGATTCGTGTTGCGCGTGTCTGCCTTTGTTTCCAACTGCGAAGGTATTCACTCGTAAAGGGGTACTGTGAGCGAAGCGGATTAATCAATTAACGCGTTACCTGCCTCGACGGTTTCAGGTGACATTCTTGATAAATAATTCATCCGTTAGTTACTTCCATTTTCTAAAGGGAAATAATTGTGGCTGAACATTAATTCAGTGTATCTTGAATACGAGGACGTATATATACGGTGCTTGCAACGGAATGGTTATTGTATACGTTCTAATCTCTGTTCCGTCAAAGGATTACGTTAATAAGCGCACCTTGCCAAGATAAACGCTGTTTTCGATCAAATTTACGATCGCTATACCTAAACGAAATGGAAGTACAGAAACGTGAACGCGATTCTCCATGGAAAACACCTGCCGTACATTTCACGAATATCATTCGCGGATTCTCGCTTCCCTTTGCTTTTCTTTTTTTCGCATTTTTTTTTTTTCCTTTTTTTTACTTCCTCGACGAATCGTCGATATTCACGGCAATCGGTAAATTGTGCGGAATTACTCCAGGGAGATACATCTACGTTTGTACCTGGAAAACTGTGGGGAAGAGCTATCGCGAATCGATGTAAAATCGCGAGTGAAACGGTAAAAAAAAAATTGCATTAAACGGTGCATCGCGAAACAAGGAACATCGTGTCAAAGGAAGATTTTTATATCCACGGAAATCAAAGGACCTCGGTAACAATACTATTGTTTCCTGCTAATTATCAATCGGCTTAATGAGGCCTTCGATCCTGTTAGGACACATTTTAAACCGCTCTCCCTCGACGCTGTTTATCGCTTGATTGTATCAAACCCCTAATAATTAGTGGATTTTTAATCACGAACCGCTGACAGCCGTCTCGTTTCTCGTAATGTGTAATAAAATCAGGGGTGTTGGACTGGAAATTTCGAGATAAAATCGATGCGATGACAACCCTTTGTGTCGTCGGATCTCTGTCTCCTGTAATTTGATATCAAACAGTCCGGATTTACACTGAGCGTAATATATATTCTAACATAAAACGTGGTTTCATTGTATCGTCTAACGTTTGATCGATTTGTTTGCACAGTGGCAGCGGTGTTCGGCCAGGATGGTGACCTTTTTTTCTCGGTGAGCCCTGGAGAGCATACGGTCGTCGAGGGATCTCCAGTTCGTCTGAGATGCGAGGCGCAGCCGAGTTCCCAGGTCAAGTACTCGTGGAAAATCGACGGCCAACCGCTTGCACCGAGTCCACGGCGACACCAGCAGGGCGGAGACCTTCGTATCACTAGGGTCAACCGTATCCTCGACAGTGGAAACTTTGCTTGTGTAGCCACTCACGAGGAAACTGGATACTCCATCGAGAGTTCGCCTACCAAAATCGACATTCAATGTAAGTCACATTTTTATCATTTTACTTAGCGAATAAAAAGTTTCATAACGAAATTGGTTTTCGGATTGAATGGCGAAGCGACGTAGATAATAAAATTTTTTACAATATTGCAAACTACACGCACGCGACAGAATAATTACGCTTAAACTACCAATTAATTAGCGTTAAAAGTTCCGAATATCCTTAATGATCTGTTAACGGGATACGCGATTACTTTAGTAAATCGTTATCGGATAAAAAAGTTCAATCGTCTAGTTGACGCGTTTTATCGCGCGACACACGGTGAGTTTTTTTAACGAGCGCGTACATTTAATTAATAACGCCCTCGACGAATGAGACCATCGAGAGATTATCGCGTAGCCGTGAAGAGAGGTCGGGAGCGGTCCCGGGTGTTCGTCGGCGACCGGCGTCGAAACCGACAAACCGATATAATCCTGCGTTCACGCTCGCGTTGCTTAATCGACAAAGTGCGTGGAGCTCGCGGCTACGAGAGGACAGTTTCTGCGAGAGCGTCGCCCGAGGGAGTCGAAGCGACGCCAGGATAGATCTCACCGTGGCTACGTTATTCTCACGGCACTTTTTAATCGCCCTTTCTCCGCAAAAGCGCAGATCAAACGTTCGCTGCGCAAAAATTATACGAGACAAACGAAACTGAACGGGGAACGAACGAGAAGGGAATCGAGAGTAGGGTGATGCTATTGAAAACAGAAGGGGTACGAGATGAAAATTATGCAGAAAACGTTTTATTTTTTTTTTTAAATAAATAATGTTAGCAGGCAAACAAAGGGTCGATAGGTTAATAGGAAAATAAAAATTCAACGGTGAATTTCACGAGTTGTTTCGACGTATTCGCTGCGCCACCCCTTCCATGCCCCACCCCAATTATTCCCCAACGCGACATTAATTAAGCAAGATAATTTGCTGTTGAACCGTGCTGCCCAATATGGCGTCCGTCGATGACTGGTGGTCTCCGCGCAGCCCGTTCGTTTTAATGATTCGAAAATGTTGAAGGGTTTCTGGCTACGAGAACGTAAATTCCACGACGACGATGACGACGATCTCGACGTCGAGACGAGTCGAGCGGGACCGAGAGTGAGAGTAAGACGAAAAGAAACAGAACGGAAAACGAAGAGGAAGAGGAGTGAAAAATGTATAATGTTACCCGCGAGTTGGTACCACTTTTTTCCTCCGTTTTCTATTTGTAAAACGCAACAAAATGGGTGCTTTCCGCTGGCAGGACGAAGGGGAACGAATTAAAGGGACGAAATAAATGTACGCGCCAGCCAGGATGGGGTGAGGAGGCGCGGATCGAATGAATAATGAAGAAATTTGCAAAAAAAAAAAAAAAAGAAATACAAGGAAAATAATGAAAGTACATATTATTAAATCGGGGAAACGTCGAGGACGGACGAAGAAGAGAGAAATAGTGTTGAAACGTTGGTCGCTGTTGCACGGGGGTTGTGCAGGGTGTATAAGGGTGGTGGGAAAAAAAGAGAGAGAGAGAAACAACGTCAGGGCGTCGTTAGCGGCCCAGCACCTCGTTATCATGTATCGTTTCGTAATTATTATTACACGCTGCTGCCAACCCGGTGAAGTGCACCGAGCCACGAGTACATTTAGCGCGTGCTTAATACCCGTCGCCTGGCTCGATTCCTTTTGATAATTGCGATAAATATAATAATGATAATGACGATGGAACGTTTTCTTCGGGCCCGCCATCTACGACGGGAGACGTTTTCCTGCCTCTTTCGCGTCCAATGAATTTTCGTCTAGTCGCCGTCTTTCTCATCGTCGCGTAATTCCGTCGAACTGAACGACCCTTTTCATATTTCCGATTCCTCCGATGCACTCTCCAACCGGGAAAACCACTTCCCACGGATAAAATGCCTATAACTTGTCTAACGTTTACTTCTGTTTCTCGTTTGATTAATTAAATCGCGTCTGGAAACTCACGAGGTATCGATCCTTGCGCGTTGAATATCGATGGGGCGGTTTCAACGCATGCGATTCCACGAGTTTGATTTTAGTTTCAATTATGACATCACACATATGAGTTCACTGACTAATTAAATGGAATTTCATATGGAAAATTTGGCGAATATTTAGAATATGTGTGGTATGCTGTTGCCACGCATTTGCGAATAAAACGGTTCCGTGAATATTTCCGCTCTGACGACGACGGTGACGACGATATTAGAGAGTGGGTTTTCAAGCTGTTTCGTTGAAATTTTAACAATTCCGAGCGATAAAGTTGGTCGGGACATCTTGTGTGTTTTGGAAGCGCATTCGTTTCAGTTAATCCTTTAGACACGCTTTAATTCCCGAAATCTCTCTGTGCATAGCGTATCCAGGTGCATTTTAATCCCATTAAATGGAACGTCCACGCGTATTTCCGAAATTCTAGCAGACATGTTTTTACAGAACAGGGAAAATATGTTTTCCAGTTTCCACGGATTTTCGCGATTATTTACTTTCTACCTACTATTATTCATTGTTATTCAGGAAAATGCCCTTATTCGTTTAATTTAAATTAGTAATAATTCGAGGGAAAGGATACACTTATAAATATTTATTTCCCATTTGCATTTTCCAGAACAGAAAATACGCAATTGAACGGACGGATTCCGAAAGAATTTCGCGATATCGAAAAGCGCGACGTCGGGGCGCGAACCCCGTGTTTTCAACCCTCGAAAGGTCGAGCGTCTGACGAGTGATCTCTCGAACACGCCTGGCGATGACGAGCTGGCCCGCCGCGCCGTGAATATTCCGCGCGTACCTCGCCGTGAAAACCATCCCTTTCCCTCTTTTAATTTCCAACCCCTCGGCTCGCGGCCACAGACCGGCCTACGAGGGTACGGAGGCGAACGGGGGGTAATAACACGCAGAGGAGGATCCTTTGTCCAAATAAAAAAATAACATCTCGCTTCGCGAGCGAGGAAGAGCTTGCTACTACCGCTGCTGTTGGTGCTGCTGCTGCCGTTGCTGCTGCTACGATACGCGACAATGGATAGGAAGTTGTTCAGCCCCGAGCTACGAGAACGGAAAAGGGGGTTGAGAACGGCAGAGGGACGAACGACGGACTTACTAGTGGGGCTTGAATTCTTGCCAACGTATATCGTCGACTTTACACGAGATCCTATCTGATTTATACGACGCGTACGTAGAATCAAATGTTTTTAAGCAACATTAACCCTTTTCATATAAAAAATGTTTGGCTACGGTCTAGAAAAGCCATTGTTTATATATTAGAAAACCGAATGCATGCTGTACACAAATCTAATATGTAACGCAGCTTTTCATTCTCATACAATGAACAATACACAATTAACGAGAGAACAATATGGAACTTTCTGCGTTTATATTATTCCATATAAACAATATGGTACGCATAAATAAATAAAATATATGTAGCATTTAGAAAACACGCAGTGTGTGGGGAAGAAGAAAATATATGGAGAGAGGAAATATTTGATGGAAACGTATATCTATTTAACTTATCTAAATCATATGTTGGCTCAGCAAAGAGTCTGCTTTGCTCTCCAAAGGTTAATAGCTTCAGATGTCACTGCTATCATGCTGTGCCCACCAGTTTGCCCGTGGGCATCGTTCATTCAGGCTTGCTCTATGCTCTATAGGTAGATAAAGAGGGAGATCCCGCTATATTTTCGCGCAGATGTCGTTGAACGATGAAAAACAGGCCAGCTGATTAATCTCTTCACTCGAGCGTCCAATGATTCGCGAAATTGAAGGCTCGAGGAGCGAAAGTGTTAACGCGATTCGAGTAGACGAGTGGATAATGGGATCGAAAAGTGTCTGAAGCCAGCGTGAAAAATCTCGTGCCTCTGTCTCTTTAACTTGTAATGGGTCTACGACGGCGACTAACGACCGCGGGAAAGGTTCACCATCTCGTCGCTCCTCGTTTACCATCTTCACCGGCGTAACGTCGTTCCCGGCCGGCAATTAGACCGCTCGCATTATACCTGCCTCCACAATAAGCCATCGTTCCGCCCGGAATCTCATTTCCTCCGACGTGAAAACGCCACTTTTTTCGATGAGCCACCGTTGCTCTCGGTCGTCCGTCTCATCGGGCTCTTGCCAGACCGCGAACGATTCTCGCCCCGCGATATAAGCTTTATCTCTGTCGCCGGTTAATCGGTCGCTTTGAGAGTTCACCGTTCCACACGTTCATCCACCATCATTCTTCGCGTTAATTGCGACATTTTAATTGGCCGCTTGATGAGTTTCAATCGTACCAGCTGCGATTGTTTCTCTCTCGGAAGTTAATGAACTTTCCCTCGCCGCGGGACAACACACGCGGCCGCGTCTCGCCAATTTCGAAATTGCAACGTCTAACAGGATTTGATGACATATGCAACGATCTAATAGAATTCCCTCTGTCACGTTCAGCAACTTTAATGAACCCGACTAATTTGTATGTTTACGGTATGGAAAAACTGTTGATTGCACGATAAAGAAGATGATAAAGAAGGCCTCGGCGCGTATCCGCATTCTTACTTCGCTTTTGAAACGTACGGGCCAGTCGGTCGGTCGACCGCATAATGCGAGGCCAAATGGCAATTAGGCTTCCTGCATTGTACCCCACAACAATGCCTGTTTTTCAGTGGGTCCGTATTGACGGGAAGAACGCGCGTGCAGAGACTCCCTCCACTAAATACCACGATGAATTTACCGCTTCGCGTCAGGGGTGTGCCGTGATCCAGATTCGTCGGCATATTAATGACACCTGGACGATAAATCATAACGCGCTAGCTACGTTCAACGGCCGATGGGTTCGAAGGAGAAAGGGGGTGAATCGAGCGAACGAGGGGCCAGCACGATGAATCAAAATCGATGTTTATCAAATTTTATCGTTTCAATTAGATCGTAGGAATTGTAATTGATCGATAATCATCTCTACTCTACCGAAACTTTAAAACTTTAACAATCGTGCCCCACGTTGTGCTCGTTCGCTAATAACTTTCACCCCTTTCCTGAGCAAA